AGTGTTACACACAGTATTATTATAGCAGTTTGAAGTAATGGAGTACATTTAGTTTAGATCTTCATAACCCATAGATAAAAAAAAATTAAGAGTTTGAGAAATTGCTTAAGTTTTATATTTCAATCATATTGTTACGTCTCCGTTTGTTAATTAACTTTCCGTAACTTCGTTTCCGACGAAACTTTAGCGACACAAGTCCTTACTTAATAAAACTGGTTTATTCTTTCCGAATACCAACTTTACGATACACTTATTTTCAACAATCGCGCTAAAACAAATGCTATATCAACGAACGTCAATAAAACTTCTGACTGCAGTTCAATTACTCACTATCTTCACACACACATTACCTTATTCTCCCGTCACGTTGTCACCCTCTTTTATATACCAGACTACCCTATATCTAGTAAATACTAGAGCATTTGCCAAGGTTCTAGAAAAGTGGCGTCACACTAGTCATGTGACTTGCTGACGCAACAATATATTAGTCAAATTCTCATTTGTAATTGGGTTAAAAGTGATGATTCATGAAGTTTTAAAGAAATTAGAAACAATACTTATTGTTGTGGATTCAGGGACTGCTCACTTGAAGATAGGCTGGGATTTGCCATGGAATGAGTTGTATACTTCAATTAATAGTGCATGATACTTAGTACACAAAAACAACAAAAGTTGCAACTACACAGCACTATCAGGAATATTTAGACTCTTTTAAGATGCTCTTACATGAAACAATCCAAAGAAAAACTAAAACAACCATATACATGGATACACATATAAATGTTTTAGATATTTCTCGTAAACCAATTAATAAAAAAACCTGGTTTTATCATACTGTATTCTCCAGTGAAACTGAATGTAACAAGTAAGTATCAAGATCAAAATAACAGGACATTCTCAGGAAAAGTCTGAAAAAGTCATACTTGACCAAAAAGAAAGAGAGATTGGGCACAGTTGTTTCAGTTTAAAACAAATAATACACTTTACTCATCAAACAAATAAAAGGCCTGCAATATTTGCTTATTTTCTTGTAACTTCTCTGTATATGCAGCAGTTTCATACAGTGCTATGAAGTTTCACTGAACAGCCAAAGTGAAAGTTTTTGTGTGTGAAACACTACCTTTGTTTTGAAATGTTCAAGTTCAAACTTTGCCAATACTTTTCAAAAGGTGGTTTCACCCATGTAAAGTAATTTTTCCAGTGTATATGTATGCAAAGCATTATAACATATTAATGAATGACTTATTTACTGTAATGGCCATTTACAGAAGCATACATATCTGCACTAGCCTTAATGATGTGTAACAGACATGATAGTATACTAGCACCATATAAAGTTGGGTAAAACCTGAATGGAAATTTCCCTGGACAAAGATATATACTCTTCTTTTCATGTTATGAATGGAATATAGCTATAATATGTGTATATTACACTATGATCAACTAAATATCAAAAGGAGATATGATGCTTAAATATGTTTCTTGATGTTAATTAATAAATGAACTTCCTCAAATAAGCTGTTTGATGCATTGAAACCAAATTTCTCACACTTACCATTAACTGAGCAGTCAACTTCTCTAGTCCTGGAGACTGTCTGCTTTGAGTGATAAGTTCCTCTCTTAACTTTAATACTTCCTGTCTTAGAGCTTCTTGGATGTGAAACTGATCAGAGCTTGAAGTTTCCTTTTCTTGCTTTAACAGAGTCAATTGATTCATATGGGCTTGATGGACCATATCTAATTGTTCGTTCAGTTGGTACACCTCTTTTTGTAGATGTTCTTTTTTAACTGAATATTCATTCCTTTCTTCTTCTAATAGTTTATACATAGTCTTAAGTTCATTTTGTAGTTCAAGCTGTAAGTGTTTGAAAGGCAATTTTCACATTAGTGCTTAAATATTTTATCAAGGTCAATAATGATATTTAAAAATATAGTAATATTATAAAACAATAAAATGATGTTTGCTGCTGAATGAAACAAACACACTCATCTTAGTTTATAAATGTATACACACACACATGTACATGCATGTGTGTGTGTGTATATATATATATATATATCTGTGAACATTAAAAAATGTAATTTAAAAACTGTTTAAAGATTACAAGATTTTATATTAACAGTCAGTTTTTTTTAGAACATTCAAGTTAAGGCTTTTCTCAGAAAGATGTATAATATTCTATGTACATTTCATTTTAATTTCCTACTAGTCAAGTCTAGAAAATCTAATCTCAGTGCTCAATGATATTTTATACTATTAGTACGTGTGATTTTCATTATTTAGAAATGGTATACTTTGAACTGCATTAAAAACTAGTATGTATATACTTTTTATCCTGCTGTAAGCAACATAAAATACAGTTTAATACGAGTCTCTTATCCAATACCTGACAAATAATCTTCACCATTCCATTATTAGAAAATGAAAATGCATTTTGAGTAAGTTGCAAAAACCCTCAAGAATTCACAGAATTTAAAATCAACTGTCAGTATATAACCCAACGGTCCAAAACTTAAATGCATAATTGTTTATGGGCATACCAATTCAAATGCCACACATTTGTCTTGAGAATATGACCAGTTAAAAAATAGATATGGGTGTGAACAATTGACACTTATTGCTAACCATTTTTTTCCTTCATGAAAATAGCCTGCTCTTGCAGTATTCTCAGGTAAAACTGACCACAACAAGTGAGTACCAAGGTCAAAATAACAGGACATTCTTAGGAAACATCTGAAGAGTTAGATTTGTTTGTTTGGAATTAAGCACAAAGCTACACAATGGGCCATCTGTGCTCTGCCCACCATGGGTATCAAAACCCAGTTTCTAGCATTGTAAGTCTGCAGATATATCGCTGTGCTACTGGAGAGCCTGAAGAGTTGGAATAAGTTAAACTTGACCCAAAGGAAAAAAATTGGGTACAGTTGTTTCTGTTTCAAACATATAATTCACTTTATTCATCAAATAAAATAGATGCACGATGTCTGCTTATTTCTTGTAGTAGACCAATTTCTCTTTATATGCAGCAACTTGAGGTAGTGCTAGATAATTTCACTGGACAGTAACAGCAAAATATTTTATGTGTGAAGTATTAGCTTTACTTGGAACTGTTCAAGCTCTGCCAGTAATTCCTAGAAGATCACGTCAAGAGATTAGTTTCATTATAATAAAAAAGAGAAAGTAATGTTTCCGATGTGTTTATTTATGCATAGGGCCAATATACCAGATGATATTCCAAAATAATTAATGGCTCATCTTGTATAGTGGCCACTTAGAGAAGCAGATATACCTGCACTAGCTAGCTCTGATCATGAAAGGGATTAGCACCATAAACACTTGGGTACAACCTGTACAGAAATCTAAAATAAAATTAGTTGAATATACCTGTATGTTACTAAGACTTAGAACTAATCTAATTACATCATCCTCTGAACATGAATATATTAATAACACTTTTGTATGTTGTTTTCATGCTGTAAGTCTATATAAATCAGTTTCTCCATCCACAGTGATAGAATAGTTAATAGGTCTATCAATCTATTATTTCCCAATAATCAATTCATTAATTAAGGAAAAGTTTTGAATCTAAAAAAAGGATTTTACAGATTTTCATAGTTTCATTCAGTTTTTTTTTTGTATGAATTTAACTTATATTCTGGTTAATCAAGTTTACAGAATATTTCAATTTTTAAAATTTGTTTCAGGCTGAGTTGCAATAAATGAAACAACTCTTTAAAAATAATTTACACCAAATATAGTAAATTTGTCTTTATCAAAATTTTTAAGAAACAGTATCTATTTTTCTAAGATGTTACTGAATCCTCCAGTGGCTAAAGAGTCAAATCCTCTCCATATGAATTGTTTTAGATCAATGTGAAATAAGAATAATCTTTATATATTTATTAAATGTTTGGAAAAAAGGATATTTAATTAATTACATTGTGCATTACTTAATTTGTTCATAAGACTTCAGTTATTAGTAAAAACACAAATAATGGATAGAACAAACATAAGCCATCATGACAGATTTGAAATGCTGTTTATTATACACCTCTGATTTCAAGCTGTAATAGAAAATTAAGAAATTAGTGTGAGGAAACAAAAACATCTGCAGTTAACTTGCTTTTATAACAATTTAGGCCTATTGGCTTTCAAATATTTTGCCAGTTTTTGGTGCTAAAACCAACACAGTTATATTTTAATGTATTCTGTCATTGAATGGGTTCTTTTGGATTATCTGGTCAAAATAATGTTAAGCCCTATCAATAACGTTTGCTACAGGCTCCATTCACTGGTAGGCCTAGCTTCTTAAACAACATTAATTCCAAAACTAATGTAAGCCTAACTTACTTGCAATAGTTTCTTTAATAATCAATGTCCAACAAACATACTGACTGGCACACTGTTTGACAATGAACTAATTAACTCATAGATTACTCACTCAGTATGGTATTCATATTGTACTCTTATTTTTACATAGTCCAATGAACTGATTAATTCATAGATTACTCATTCAGTATGGTATTCATATTTTACTCTTATTTCTACACAGTTCAAGAAGTTTTTTGATTCTCCTGAGGTCTTGAGTGTCATGAAATTTCTAGATCTTGAATCATCACAATGTCATGACAGATTCCCTTATAACAAACAAACATCAAATTAAAATATCCAAAACAGAACGTATAACACCACCCAATTCCTAGATTGCAAAGGGCTTTGAACAATCACAATACACAAATAAAACAGTCACCAAATTGTCCATTCACCAAGTTTTTTGCTGTTTTATATTTTCTTATGGGTTATGGTGTGCAGATGGAGTAACATCTTATCCCTTATTGTCTCTTACAGTCCTGTCATTGGAGAAGTTCTCCCTACTTAAATGGCTGAGTGAATCCGTTGGTGGCTCTATATTTGGTGATCCTCTAGAAACAGTCTCAACAGGAACACTGGCTCTTCAGCATACTGACTTTCTGTTGGCAAATTCTTTTCTGAAATTATCCAGTTAGTCATTCTCTCACTGATGTAATTCCAAAGATGAGATGATCACAGTGAAGGAATCCTGGTTTGGATCTTCTGATCTGGAGTCTGTGAGCCACATCATATATTCTTTTCAGTAGAGCATGCAGTACTTCTTAACATTAAGACTTTGTCTACTCTTACAGTAGCCATACCATGTCACTTCAATTAAATTCAGTTTTATCAGCATTAACACTATAGTAACATTTCATTTATTATTAGCTGATTTAAGTCTTTCATGGGTAAAGTTATGTATGAAATTATTGATGTTTTAGTCTTTCTGCATACTCTGTGTAAGACTCTGCTGAGTTAAATTTTTTGGATGTGGGTAAAGAAGGTCTAATGTTCTCTCCCAAGCATTAGTGATGATGGTGAGTTGCCTGTAGCTTCATGTACTTCTATTTGATAACTCATAAGTAGTAATGGAAAATCTTTGTCCCATATTTTTCTGATGTTCGATCACATAAATGGCTAACAGAATGGCTGATTCAGCATGAAGTTACATTTACACACCAGATTTTGAAACAAATTCATTGAAAATTTATTTGCTAATGTTTCTGCTTCTTGATTAGGAACAGCATATGGTACTGGCAATTTTGCATTTGGTGAAATAGCCCATTACAAACATAATATATTTATTCTCACTATTACTCTGACAGAGGACCAAGAACACTGACAACAACTCTCTCAAGTGGTGCTCCAACATAATATTGATGAAGCTGCCAATACTGTTTCTTTTGTGGATCTTTTCACTGACAGTGTAGTTCACATGTTCTACACCAATTTTCTACAGATCCCTGACCCCCCAACCCAATAGAAGCATTTTCTTACCCTCTTCCATGTCTTCTTAAAACCTAAGTGTCCAGCTGTTGGACAGTTGTGGAGACAATGGAGTACTTCAGAATATAACTATGAAATTACCAACTGTAGACATTGTTTCTGTCCACTTGCATCTTCCTACTTGTGATATAACAAGCTCTCTTGTAGGCATAATAAATCCCATTGGGCCCAGTACACCTTTGTCTTTGGGATGTACAGAGCTAATGTTTGCCATGAGGGTTTTTATGCACTATTCTTGATCCATAGAATAATAGGTTTCAAACTTGTATTTTGTGCTAGAATTTCTTTCAATTGAGTGTTGGACTACATTAGTACCTCAATAACACTTGTGGATGCCTCATCTTAAAGCATTTTATTTTGGTCATTTTTACTATCTTGTGTTTTTCTCTTTTCATAGGTTTGCATTCTTCATTAACACATGGTCTTTGGGATAATGCATTAGCATTTTGAAAGTCTCAGCATACTTTGCAAGTTGGAATCATCTGACTAATTAATGTATTATGGGTGCATCTCTGGTATCCATCTTATAAGATATTTTACTTGTTTGGTCCTAGTCATTAAGTCTATTGGAGAATGTATCTTTATATTCCATGAGAAAGTCATGTAATCTATGGCACTGATCAGCAGTAACACATCCACTGCTCTAGTCATACAGTTTTTGTAAGTGAAGTGGTAAGCTGTCATTATGTGAGGATTTGATATCAGACTTTCTACATCTTGCCTCAAAGGTGACTGCTTTTGAGGTTCTTTAATGTGGAAGTACTACCTGTACAGATTCATATCTTGCATTGTTTCATTCAGACATGATTCAAATTACATGGTTTCTAATGTTCATGGCCGTAATGGTGACATTTTTATTCTTCAGATACAAAAGAGTTCTTCCTACAGTATTATTTGATATGTTGAACCTGTACCTTCTAAATGGAGACTGTAATTGTATATATTGTAACTTTAATGAACTAAGGTTCCATTTGGAGAACTTTCTTTAAAGATGTACT